GGGAAGTGAAATCCTAAAATATTTAATGTTAATGAGCAGTAATTACATCCATACATGCGTAGTACAGAGAAATATAGAGATATATATGAGGATTATGACTATGCTGGAAAACTGATCTGTAAAAGCATATTCACAGCATTCACTGTAACACAGTTAACGAGTATGAGGTATTGCAGAAATCTCACAACTGAGTTATCTTTCTCTGTTTGGCTAGGGAATGAAATATTGTACGTAATCAATGAAAGCCTGTTAGTCTTTGCAGATCCTGCAGGGTTCTGTAATAATGGCATAATTTGGTATGGTACCATTTCTTCTGAACCAATACACAGTGGACTCCACAGAATTCTCAAAGTAAGTTCTTTACACTCTTTTTTGGCCCGGGGGAAGGGAAGGGGGGGGGCGTTAACGGCACTGTATGGGTATCCAAGTTCAGAGCAGCCTTAATTCTGAACTTCTTAGTTTTGTGGATTCAATTAAAATCCTTAACATTAAACACTTTATAAATATAGATTTACACCACACTATTTAATAATGAGGATTTTATATATACTTGTGTGTGTGTTGAGAGAGAAAGAGATACACACACATACATGTCATTCTTGGTAAATGCTTTAGTGATACTGTGCCTCTTTCAACACATTTTTGTTTTCTTTGTGAGGTTTTGTAACCCCTTTGCACTTAAATTTAAAACCACAACTCATATATTAAAAGAGTTAAAGGACTCATTTCTTCTCTTTCAGCCATTAACAACAAATGCACAATTGAGTAAAGGATGAGAAAGCTATAACGTTTAGCACCATCAGCACATATTCAGGTTTTGCTTTTATTAGAAACTTAACCAACTGTTTCAAAACAGTCAGTTTTGCTCACATTATCAGGGTTTGAAATGTTACTAATCATTATTAGAGCAAAAAGAAAGTGAAAGATCAGTAAAATAAAAATAACAAAAAAATAAAAGACCATAATGTATTAGTAACCAGCAGGAATTGCTTTACACAGATGAAAACAAAGATTTATAAGGAAACAGCTGAAACTACTTTGCAAAAGTTGATTTATCCCTAAGTCTCAACAGAAGAAAAACTAAAAACACTATGAAAAAACAAGGGAAATGCAACTTAGATAATTGGGATAATTAAGCCGCCTTTATGTATTGTAAATGTATATATTTTTATTTCAGTGCCCTTAAAAAATCATTGCTTATTTACTCCATTTTAGGGCACTGATTCTCCTACTCATAAGCTGTTCACTGCTCTCCAAAAGGAGTTTACATACTTCATTTTTAATATTGAACTCCAGCTACCAGTGGCATCACTGATGCTGAAATTTAGGGGCAATGTACATGCAGAATTTAACTAGCCTACTAATAAAGAGTATTTTTCCCTTTCAATTCCCCTGTAGATGCAGATCACATGCATATGATGACTCTATTAGTCTGACTACAATGCTGTTTTCTTCTGTGTAGTACTTAGAATTGGCAAGAGAAGTGGCCTTCTTTTCTAAATAGGCACAGTCCAAAATAATAATATTTACCACTTCCATCAGACTTTTCACATTCAAAGCACATTACAATATTAACTAATTATCAACTTTTTTTTTTTTTAGTCCTGTCTCACCCTCCTTATTTCATCCCACCACTTTCCCACGAAAATATTGCTCCGCTGTGCACATGCCTGTAATATCCACACTACTGATCTGCTGGATCTGCTCCACTGCCCATTGATTAGAATAAGAGACAGCAAAATAGTAAGATTTAATGGGAGAAGGGGGGGGAAGGGTGTCAGAACAGGTAGGAGGAGGAAACTGAAGGGGGGAGAAGGAGGACATCATAGGACCAAAGGGGAGTGGCAATGGATTAACATTGATAAGGGAAAAGGGGGAGGAAAGGCAAAAAACTCGAGACAAGACATAAAAAGGCAAAAAAGGGGACTAAAAGTAAATGGTGAAAATATAAGAAGTGGCACAGGACACTGAAAAGGAAGAAGGAGAAAAGAGATGAGGAAAAGAAATAAAGAGGATAAAAAAAGAACTAGAGGAGGTGAAAATATTGCACAAATGGCAAAACGTTAGACAAAAGGGTCTCTGAGCAAAGAGAAGAGCTAGAACAAGAGGGGAAACAAAAAGGATGAAAGAAGTTTGTGAGGAAAACAAATGAAATGTAACATTAAGATAGTACAAGAAGGCGCGGTGGGAGGGGGGAAGAGAGAACTTTTAATTACTACTCTGGGAGCTGGCTCTCACCTAGGGTCACTCATTATGTTGCCTTGATCCATTGTGAGCTGCTCCACTGTGCAGAGCAGCACCACAGTTCTAGACGAGCTTCCCCGCTGTTTTGCGGTCCACTTAATTGCAGTTAGTACTACTAGTTTCTACAGCCCATATCCAGCATTTGTTATCTTCAGAAATTCATTTAAAAAATATTTATAGCCAGTGCCTCAAAACTTAGCTCTTAAAAATGCAGCTTGGTGCCTAATTACTGCAACTCACTGCCAGTTTTCAACAACTCCATAACTTTTCTTTTTCCCTTATTCCACAAAGATCATAAGAATGAGCAGCTGCTTTGATTTTGTGGTGTCATATATGGGGTGGTAACGATAAAGCTACTCATCCAGTAGAGGAAATGTGCTTATCCTATCACAATTACAAAGAAATGAAAGTAATGGGCAGGGGACAGTCAGGCAGCATAGAATTAAAAGTTTAGAAGTTACATTAAAAAGTTTAGTTGTATGCTCTGACAGATATGCAAGATCAAATATGTAGTTCATTTTCAAGTTCTGGTGAAATACATTCAGTAACCTTGTTTTAACTACACTTGTGACACATACATAACCAGCCCTTCTCCTCATCTCCCTCCTCCATTCCAGGCTCATTACAGCCCTCCCTTTCTTCAAGGCCCCCTCCCTCTACACTGAACTTTTATCCATCGTAGGAAATATTACTTAAACTCATTTGAAACTGTTTCTAATATGGTTTGGCATGCCAGCATGGACACAGCCAAAAGTCTAGAACACTGTTTTAATATAGTTTGGCCAAATTTTGTTGGAAACTATTTTAGCTTGAACCAAGTTTAAACTCAGTTCCTTAGCATAGTATAGCTGGGACCGGAGTCTCAAAGAATCCCTTTTTGTCCTCTTCAAGTTCCCAGCCGCATCTCAATGTTCAACATTGCAGCTACCCCCCTTCTGGCTGAAAAGTAGATGGGACTCCACCCTCCAGGCCTTGTGGAGTCTGTTCTTGTATCAAACAGAAGGTCACTGAAAAGCACTTCTTTCCTTCTTTTGGGGCTGAGTATGCCAACTACAGCACTTTGAATCTCAGCTGGCCATGGGAGGGATGGACCAGGAATCACTCATATTTATGGACATAGGAAGAGAGTGCGTACATTTCCAATTACTTTTATTTCAAATGTCAATTCTCTTATACTTACAATGACCATTCAAAAACAAAAACAAAACTAGCAATTCTTTGGATTATTTTTACATCTACTATTTTAGAGTGGTGCTTGATTTTTATACAGCACCTCACGCATTCCTACGGGCTTGTTTACACACAAATGTAAAAAGTCACTAGCATCATGTAAACCTCCATCATACCTGGAGCACACAAAACCACTCTAAATATGCAATTTTTTTCAGACATATGTGTATACACACACATATATACACCCCTCATGTAAACGTGCAGTATGATAGGAAATTAAATATTTGGTAGAACTTATTGATATTTCCTTTTGGATCAGAAGCTTGTAAATTATAGGTTCACAGACTAATCCACACAAATGCATACATTATTCCTTTACTATCTCATGAATCCCCAGTTACAAAATACATTAATGTATTCATTTTTCTCCAATTCATTTTGAAATTACCAAATTGCATCCTTTAGTTCACCATGAAGCTGGTATATCACCCGCGCAATAATGTACTTTGAAGACATTTGTCAAATACTGCAATGCCCATACTAAGGCAACACATCCCAGTAGTTGGCAGCCATGCTATCAACAAGAATTTGGCTACAGAATCAGCAATGATTCATCATACATTCTAGAAGCATTGTAGAAGAAGCAAAATAACACTGCTATTTTAATTCTTTAAAGCTAACAAAGATTTTAAAACAATATTAAAATTAAAAACAGACAGTAAATCCAAAGTGAGAAAAAAAACATTTTTCCTGGTTCTGGTTATTCATTTCCAAATGAATTTTTACTCATTATTGCTTTGTGTTCTAGATAGCAATTTAAAAAAAAAAACCACACAAAAACAGCAAAGAAGAGCTATTGAAAAGAAAAGTCAGCCTGTTACTTATCTTGCTACACTGTAAATTAAATGTTTAAAATTATAGTAGCCTTAAAGCAAAATTATTTACCCAAAATCACAGGGTTAAGAATCTTGGGAATTAATTTTGACTATGTAAGCAAAACAAAACAAAAACAAAACAACCCACCCTTTTGTAAAGAATTTTTAGGAGTAAACACCAAGCCCGTGCAATCGTGTTTTTAGGAATCCCTCTCCACTACAAATGGAAGATGCTTTCAAACCACACGTTAAAATAAAGTGTCAGCAATGCAGTCACAACATTTATTTCTATACATCTTGTATTTATCTAATTGCCCAGGGACACCCCCTACATTTTCTATTACCCTGCTCTCAAGAGAGAAAAACAATGTTTTTCAGTTAACTGTAGTTTAACATGTCTTTTCATTGGCAAATAAATATCACAGTAACTGTCGATAACCTTTCAAGTACTACAGCATTTCCTAAGTAAAGTGTTCTTATCTTTCTTCTTCAAAATGGCTTTCGCGCTCTTTATTAAATATAAATGTAGTTTCTCTACACAGCAAACACACAGACATTCAAACTTTACCAATTCATGGTGTTCTTTTCTGTGTAGTCAGCATAGTAGAAGAATATGGTTCTTTGAATGTTTTAAAGTGTGTCCCTTGAAAATGGTTAGAATGTGCTTCCTTTTATTCCATCACATAAATGCACATCAGGAACCCATACCTTTCGGAAAGCCACTTCATCCTGCCTTCGTTTCCTTTTGGTCCTTTTTCTGGCTCTCTGGTTTGCTTGAATCCATTTTGTGACCTGCAGTTCAAAACCATAGTGCTTTTTTAAGAGGAAGATGAGACCTGAGTGCAGCTACCCAGCATGAGTAAGAAACTATAAACAGATTGAAGACATATTTTTCCATTGCTTCATTGGAAAGAAAAAGGAAAAAAAACATAACACTTTTCCAGTCTAGAATGACATGCTCTTAAGTAATCCAGTTAGACACTTGTGCATAGTCAAAATGGGTTTGTTTCCCTTCATCGTATGCAGCATATTTTCCTTTTTGCTCTCTATTTAAACAGCTTTGTTCAGCTTAAGTTTTTTAGCGTAAAGAAAGTATGGCTGATGCCAAGCCGAAAGTTATCATTGTGTGTGCAAAAATCCTAGGGAAAGTCTCTACTCTCTATTTCTTACAACCTGGCTTCAAATAACTGCCACACACTCAACTGTTGTTCCTGAACAGCAATGCATGTTTTAAATGATCAGGTAGTTATTATTTAATAAATAATAATAATACACCTTATATATTTATAAACACATTTATATTCTCCTTTTATAAACAAACTAATTATTTTAAAACTAACACAGGAAGAGGGGATCAGGTGGGAAACCTGGCAGGAGGCAGCTTTGCAAGGACAGAGGTGAGAAGAGAAAACAGTAAACATGAATAATTAAGAGCTGGAAAATGAAAGCGTTCTCCTCACCTCATCATTCACTTGCTGGACTAATCGACACTGGTCCCAAGACTGACACTCTTCCAGCAAAGGCTAAAAGGGAAACAAAGTGCATGTTTATTCAGGTTTTCGAGATTGCCCTTTGTAAATAGGCTCCACTTTTTCCTGCTCCCTCCCCTCCAAATACAGCCTCCCTGATCTGATGCAAAACTTTGATCTCTCAGATTTCCCCTGCACAGCAAAGCACAGGCTTTTCCCTCCCAGCCACTTACAAAAGTCTTAACACTTTTTAATTTTTTTTGGAGGGTGGGGGCTAAGAGGAGAGGTTTACCTTGATTTGAGATCTGCACTGAGATCCCACTTCTCTTCAGCAGCTCCCCCCCGCTCCGCTTGCTGCTTCCCACGGCACACGCGGCCGGCATTTGTTATTTTGCTGTGGCTGCTGTCGGTTTGGTGAGTAGCACCGGCCAGTCTGTTTTGCACGTATTTATGTATTTTGTATGGTCCCTCTCCTCTCTGCGATGCATCCCCAGGCTGATGGGAGTGAGCCCTGCCTCCCTCTTTCAGCAGAGCAGCACTAGAAACCTCCTTAGGAAATGAAACACCTAAGGGGGTGCCCTTGCCCCTCCCTCCCCAGTGCGCCAGTCTCTTAGAGCTGAGACGGAGAGGAGGAGCCTGCCTTAAAGGTATAGAGACTGGAGTGAGCCGTTAACCCACCACTTAAAGGTGTGGAGAGATCACAGCTCTTAATTTGTCCAGCACTGTGGCACAACAATTTGATTTTTCCCTATGGAAACCTTTTCCTCCATAAAATATTTAAATGGTTAAATTCACTGTAGTGTCCTAAGCATCTCCAGGGCCTTTTGGATTCAAACTCCAGGATAAAGGATCATATATATTAGAGATGGACCTGGGTATATGCATATGAGTGCATGCATATGGGTGCAGATTCAAACTTCCTTAAAGTTATATGGGGTATTGATATTGGGTGATCTGGTTTAGCTCATTATAAAGACAAGAGCTGAGTCATGATTTCTGGATCCAGATCCAAACTATCCCAGTATGCATCCGATGAAGTGAGCTGTAGCTCACGAAAGCTCATGCTCAAATAAATTGGTTAGTCTCTAAGGTGCCACAAGTACTCCTTTTCTTTTTGCGAATACAGACTAACACGGCTGCTCCTCTGAAACCAACATTCTGCTGGCATTCATGAATGGGTGCTGTAGTTCAGCCTATTAGACAGACAGACCCAATTTTCCCAAACTGAACTACCAGATCTGAACTACCTCAACATTTTTTGGGGGTGGAGTGCTTCAGTTTGGACTGCTTCCTATCCTATTCCAGAGGAAGGTTTTCAGGTATTTTCTCCTCCTCTGCCCACCGTAGGCCACAATATCTCAAGGAACAGATTCAGTGTTTAGGATAATTTTTCAATAGTTTTCTTTGACGTCAAAGGAATCCAAAATTATGTCAGGTGACTCCCTCGGAGACTCTGAAGTGCATTTTTAACGCAAGATCTGAGTTCCCTTTTTGCTTACCATCCTTCCATAGCATTAGTCATATCACAGCATAGCAAACTCCTCATTTAGGTCCCAATTCAGCAAATCACCTCTACCTCAGCAAAGATCTCAAGCAGATAGTTAAATTACGCATGGAATTTAACCACATATTTAGATGTTTTATTAATAGGGATGGACTTAAAGATACCAGTTCAGCAAAGCTTAAGTCCAATGTGAATTCTGAGTAAAGGCAAAATCAAGCAACTTGGGCCAGAAAAAGTTGAAATTCACAAGTTGGAATTTTGTTTATGCTTTCATAATTTTCAATGTTAAATACAACACGTACAAAAGGGTGACTCTGTAAATTAATCACATCTGGTTCAATCAAAAAGATCTTGGAAAGGTACTTTCAATCTTTTAAAAATAATTTTTACTTAGTATAACAATTCCTTGAAAGCTTGAAATAGAAATCTGTGCTATCTGAAAAGAAAAAGGAGCATCAAAGCATTTGTTTTAGCAAACCCTCCCACATATAGAATTGGATGGACTCTGAAAACAGATGTAAGTAAAGTAAGGCAGGTCAAATTAGTGCCCACTAAATCTTGACAGTATCCCTTTAACTTTATCACTTTCCTTTAAACAACAAAAAAAAGTCTGTCCTACCCTTTTTTGCTTTATTGCCACAACATCCTTCTTTCAAGATCAAAAGCTTCAGATCAAAGCCAAGATCAAACTCCATACTTTAAATAGAAGCAACTTTGCCATGAAGTATTACACAAAGAAGAACTTCTTAGAAGAGATATCACAGTGGAAAAATCTTATTTCAGCCTTTTTTTTCACACTCACAACAGGGCTCCTTAAAAAGTGCATTGACGTAGCATTTCTGTTTTGTAAAAATACAACAGGTCTGCCACTCTGAAAGCTGCCATAAAATAACTCTTTAGCTTCCTGTGCATTCAAATGGAGAAAGAATATTATATCGTGATTCAAAAAGAGGATGATCAAAAACATAAAAGTAAACAAAGGAAAATATGTTCCTGGAATAAGTGCAACCACTTTAAAGAATTCAACAACGTTAGATCAGTTTCTGAGTTAGATCATCCCCTCCCACAGAGAAAGTTGTGGGAAGACAAGTGTCACAGGCATCAAGAAACTGAAGTTATTCAAACAATCCCACCTTCTTCCCCACCATGAGAGAGAGATTCTAAAGCAGTGGTTCTCAAACTTTTGTACTGGTGACCCCTTTCACATAGCAAGCCTCTGAGTGCGACCCCTCTTATAAATTAAAAACACTTTAAAATATATTTAACACCATTATAAATGCTGGCGGCTAAGCAGGGTTTGGGATGGAGGCTGACAGCTCGCAACCCTCCATGTAATAACCTCGCGACCCCCTGAGGGGTCCCAACCCCCCCGTTTGAGAACCCCTGTTCTAAAGAAATGGATTTGCAGAGGAGACAATCTCCCAAACGCGTAGATACCAGGAGGAAAAACCCTAGACATGCAAAGACATGCAGGCTGACTCCCCTCTGCCCCCTAATGGCTGCACAGCCACTGAGGGGAACTCAACAGGAATTATTGTTTGTATTGCACTAGCGCCTGGAGGGCCGAATAAGGAGTTGGGGTCCCATTGTGCTAGCTGTGGTACACACCATAACTCAAGTAGCCCCTCCCCCAACAAGCTTGCAATCTAAGCATAAGATAAAAGATAACACGTTGATATAACAAACAGAAGGATAAGCACAAGGTAACGGTGAGAGGATTATGATGAGAGTAATAAGCAATGGTCATAGCACACCATCTATCTAGTCAACCATTAACTAGACTTAATGGTGCTTCAGACAGATTTAACTCCTTATCAGACTTGGAAATCCATAGATATAGTGAAAGATAGTGTGGTGGAGAACAGCTTGCCACCTGCTCTACTCCTTCATACCCCCTGTGACGAAGCAGGACTGTTCTTAATGTTTCCTCTGAATATTGTGGGGGTGCCTCAGTTTCCCCTATGTAGTTCTTAAGTATCTAGGTGGTGGGATAAGGGTGCATGGTCATTGCAGAGCCCTAGAGGGCAGGTGTGTGCAGGGGTTTGGACACAGGGTGAATGGCCAACACCCTGTTTCCTGGCAGCTGATGGCCTGGGCCCTTCCCCCCTGCAAGGTGAGAGCTAAAGTTGGAGAACAAAGGAATCAGGTGCCTTCCTGGCCCGGGAAAGGGACAAAGCCCAGAGGAGGAGGGGCTGGAGAGAGTTTCAGTTTGGGGCTGGCTGGGGACATGGAGTGAAGTGTAGACGTGGTTGTCTGGCTCACTGGCCCCCCAAAATGGACCTGGTTGAGGGGTCCTGTTCTTTGCACTTACAAGCTCTGTTTTAGACCATGTTCCTGTCATCTAATAAACCTCTGTTTTACTGGCTGGCTGAGAGTAATGTCTGACTGTGAAGTTGGGGTGCAGGACCCTCTGACTTCCCCAGGACGCCACCTGGGTGGAGTCACTGTGGGAAGTGCACGGAGGGGCAGAGGATGCTGAATGCTCTGAGGTCAGACCCAGGAAGGTGGAAGTTGTGTGAGCTGTGTGTCCTGAAGACAGTCTGCTCACAGAAAGGAGACTTCCCCCAGATTCCTGACTGGCTTCGTAGGGAGCAGTTCCAGAGCATCGCCCGGGGACTCCATGACACTCTCACAATCCCATGTAGCTCCAGAAATGAAGGGGACAAACCAGTCCTATGTTTCATTTTTCAATTAGAAGAAAATACTCTCAGATCCCAAGCAGAGCTGTCCTAGATAATGACAAGATTTGACACAATTACCCACCCATCTAAAAGTATGCTAGAATCCTTTGCACTTTCAGCAGTATGATGAAAGCATAATTGGATTTTGATATATATGGGTAGAGATGCAGCATTAAATCAACTGGGTGCAAAATGTCCCTAATATTCTGAAGCCTCCTTATACCTGGTGGCTTAGCTTAAAAACCAGTGCTTAAAACCAGGCCTGAACCCACACATAAAATGTACATTTAGGATGGTTTAGAACACTGTAGGATACATCTGTATTGCAGAGGTTTGCTTAACTTTAAATGGAGATGGCGGAACTTGCTTTGAACTGTTCAAGCTGTGATTGCTACTAATGACATTTTCTGAATCAATAGAAGACTTTCATTGACATGTACTTCCCTTTACATATTGTAACCACATTGTCCCCAGCTTCCACCTGTCTAGGATCTCTGATGCAGAAATATTCAATATTGATAAACTAAAAAAGTCATCCGACCTAAGGTGAACTCCATTTAAATACTCTCTGACTTGTCAATAGCTTTCAGAGACTAGAAGACGTGGGGAGGAAAAGAACTGAAGAGGAAAGTGTAAAACTGTTTCCTGTAAATGAATTTCAGAAGATCTTTTACGAAGTGGAAGAAAGGGACAGGTTGTCCAGTTGAGCCTGACCTTCCAGCCTCATCTCTAGAGGCCTGAGGTCTGATTTTCCTCTCAATTACCCCAATTCTTTATCAGCATTATAAATGCTCCCAAGTACATTATACATACAGTTATAAAAAGGTACATAGTAAAGCTATAGCACACAGAAGAGACAGAGAGAACTG